TCTATCAAACATTTAAAGAAAATTAATTCAATACTATATACTATTTGGGAAAATAGAAGAAGGAGTCTTACCAAATTCTTTTTATGTTACAAATATGGTGATGATACCTAAACCAGGAAAAGTCAAAATGGAGAAGGAAAATTATGGACCAATTTCCCTAATGAATATATATGATCAAAAATTTTAAAAAAATATTAGCAAATAGATTACAGCAACTTATCACAAGAATAACACTATGACCAGGTAGGATTTATACCAGGAATGCAGAGCTGGTTCAATATTAGGAAAACTATCAGCATCATTGAGCATATCAACACCAAAAACAACAGAAACCACATGATCATGTCAATAGATGCAGAAAAAGCTTTTGACAAAATACAACACCCATTCCTATTAAAAACACTAGAAAGCATAGGATAAATGGAGTCTTCCTTAAAATAATAAATAGCATCTACTAAAACCTTCAGCAAGCATTATATGTAATGGGACAAGCTAGAAGCATTTTGAATAAGATTGGGGGTGAGACAAGGATGTCCATTATCACCGCTGTTGTTCAATATACTGGAAACATTAGCAATAAGAGAAGAAAAAGGAATTGAAGGTATTAGAATAGGCAAATAAGAAAAAGCTATCACTCTTTGCAGATGACATGATGATATACTTAGAGAATCCTAGAGAATCAAGTAAAAAACTACTTGAAATAATAAACAACTTTAGCAAAGTTGCAGGCTATAAAATGAACTCACAAAAATCATTGGCATTTCTACACATACTAACAAAGCCCAACAAGAGATAGAGAGAGAAATTCCATTTAAACTTACTGTAGACATTATAAAATATTTAGGAATCTACCTACTAAAACAAACCCAGGAACTATATGAACACAATTACAAAACACTTTTCACACAAATCACATCTAAATAATTGGAAAAACATCAGTTGCTCATGGGTAGGCCAAGCTAATATAATAAAAATGACAATCCTACCTAAGCTAATTTACTTATTCAGTGCCATACCAATCAAACTACCAAAAATTATTTTATAGAGTTAGAAAAAATAATAACAAGATTCATTTGGAAAACAAAAGGTCCAGAATATCAAGGAACTAATGAAAAGAAATGCAGGGGAAGGTGGCCTAGCATTCCAGATCTTAAATTGTATTATAAAGCAGAAATCATCAAAACTGCTTGGTACTGGCTAAGAAATAGAGTTGTGGATCAGTGGAATAGCTTAAATATGCAAGACACAGTAGTCAATGACTATAGTAATCTATTATTTGATAAACCCAAAGACCCCAGCTTCTGGGATAAGAACCCATTTTGAAAAAAACTGCTGGGAAAACTGGAAAAGAGTATGGCAGAAACTAGGCATAGACCCAAATCTCACACCATATACCAAAATAAAGTCAAAATGGGTTCATGATTTAGATATAAAGGCTGATACTATAAGCAAACTGGGAGAACAAGGAATAGTTTACCTATCAGATTATGGAGAATGGAAGAATTCATGACCAAACAGGAGATAGAGAACATTATGAAAAGCAAAATAGATAATTTTGATTACATTAAATTGAAAAGTTTTTGCACAAACAAAGCCAATGCAACTAAGATTAGAAGGAAGTAGAAAATTGGGGAAGAATTTTTACAACCAGTCTCTCTGATAAGAGCCTCATTTCTAAAATATATAGAGAACTAAGACAAATTTATAAGAACAAGCCATTCCTCAATTGACAAATGATCAAAGGATATGAATAGTCAGTTCTCAGATGAAGAAATTAAAGCCATCTGTAGGCATATGAAAAAAATGCTCTAAATCACTATTGATTAGAGAAATGCAAGTCAAAATGACCCTGAGGTACCACATCCTAACTATCAGATTGGCTAGCATGATAAGACAGGAAATTGATAAATGTTGGAGAAGAAAATTGGAACTCTAATGCATGTTGGTGGAGTTGTTAAGTGATCCAGCCATTTTGGAGAGCAATTTGGAACTATGCCCAAAGGCTACAAAATTGTCCCTAGCTTTTGACCCAGCAATAGCAGTTCTAGGGCTGTATCCCAAAGAAATTATAAAAATGGGAAAAAGACCCAAGTGTACAAAAGTATTTATTGCAGCTCTTTCTGTGGTGGCAAAGAATTAGACATTGAGGGATGCCCAACAACTGGGTAATGACTGAACAATTTGTGGAATATAGATATAATGGAATACTATTGTGCTATAAGAAATGATGAACAGGTTGACTTCAGAAAAACCTGGGAAGACTTGCATGGACTAATGCTGAGTGAAGTGAGCAGAAACAGGAGAATATTTTACACATTAACAGCCATGTTGTGTGATAACTAACTTTCATAGACTTAGTCCTCAGCAATGTAAGGATCTAAGACATCTCCAAAAGTCTCATGATGGAAAATGCTATCCACATCCAAAGAAAGATCTATGGAGTTTGAATGCAGATCAAAGCATACTCTTAGCTCTTTTTTTTTCTTCTGTTTTGTTTTGTTAAATCTTTCTTGTGGTTCCTTCTGTTGGTTCTAATTCTACTTTACAACATGACTAATGTGAAAATATGTTTAATAGGAATGTATATGTATAGCCTATATCAGATTGCACACCATTTGGGGGAGGGACATAGGGAGGGAGAGGGAGAAAAAATTAAAACTCAAAAGCTTATGGAAGTTATTGTTGAGAAATCAAAATAAATTAATAAAAAAATTAAAAAACCCTGAGTCTAGCACAATGCCTTGGATATCACTAGCACTTAATAAATATTTATTGGATTAGATTTGAAGGGGTGGATTTGATGATTGCATTTTTCTCTTCCAACTCTAGAATTAGACACCTAAAATTATAAGGAATCTGCCAGGTCCTCCTAGTCCAAATCTTTTAATTTTACAAATAAAGAAGATAATGTCCAAGAGAGTTTAAATGACTTACTCAAGGTTATGCTGGGAGTTAGAGGCAGAGAAGGGATTTGTACTGGGGTTCTTTGATTTCCCATCCAGTTCTCTTTTCATTGTATCATTTTGTCTCATTTTTATAACAGAAAAGGACTGATATAAGGAAGTCCCAGGCGAGAAAACCCCTAACAGTGCAGGTCATCACTTTCTCAGCAATTTATGGTCTTAGGGAGTTAGCTAGATCACTGAGAGGCGGAGTTGCCCAAGCTACACAGCCAGTATTCGTAGGAGGCAGAGTTTGAGTTCTTGCTAACTCTCACTTAATAAACAATAGAATTGCTACCATAAATTGCACCTCTAGAGTGCTGGACTTGGAGTCCGAATTGTCTGTATTAAAATCTTCCATCAGAAAATAACTGACTTCATGACTCTGGGCAAGTCACATAACTTCTTTCAGGTTCAACTTCTTCATTTGTAAAATGAGAGGCCTCTAAATTTCCTCCCAGCTTCAAAACTTGATCCTTATGAGGCTCTTATGACCCCATGATCCTATGTTAAATTCAAGTTTCTGAAGGGGAAAAGGGGATGCTCACCAGGGAATTTGCAGGTACCTTTTGAGACTGAATCATTATCATTAAAGTATGACTTTTTTGTGCACTTTGTTTTTCAATTTTCCTTATCTCTTCATTCCTAGGTATAATTTAACATGCATCAGAGTTCAAGTAAAAGCTGATTATTTTTGTGTGTGTGAAATAAAGGAATTGATCTTTCCTTCTTTTTTTTGCTTCTTTTAAAATTTTTCTTAATGTATTTTGATTTATCAATAATCACTTCCATACACTTTTGAGTTTAAAACTTTTCTCCTCCTTCCTCTCACCACCCTCCCCAAGATGGCGCACAATCTGATATAGGCCATATGTTTACATTCCTATTAAACATATTTTCACATTAGTGGTATTGTAAGTAAAAATTAAAACCAACAGGAGGAATCATGAGAAAGAGGAAACAAAACTCAACAGAAGAGAAAAAAAATAGCAATTCAACTTCCATAGTTCTTTCTTTAGATGTGGATAACATTTTCCATCATGAGGCCTCTGGAGATGTCTTAGATCCTTGCATTGCTGGAAAGGTTAAGTTTATCAATATTAGTCATCATACAACATGGCTGTTATTCTGTACAGCATTCTCTTGGTTCTGCTCATTTCACTCAGGATCAGACCATACAAGTCTTTCCATGTTTTTCTGAAGTCAGCCTGTTCATCATTTCTTGTAGCACAATAGTATTCCATTACATTCATATACCACAACTTGCTCAGTCATTCCCCAGTTGCTGGGCATCCTCTCAATTTCCAATTCTTTGCCACCACAAAAAGAGCTGCTATGAATATTTTTTGCACATGTGGGTCTTTTTCCCATTTGTATGATCTCTTTGGGATATAGCCCTAGAAGTGCTATTGCTCTTTCTTTCTCAACTAATTGGATTTTTTGTTATCACCGTGGTTCCTGTAATCTTCCAGACATTTTTCCCCCCACTCTACTAAAAACTACATATGAAATTGGCCAAGGAGTGTCAAACATCCTGGAGGTTTCACAGTGGGACAAAAGAACTGAGAAGTCTTCTACCTAAAAGGAAGCCAAACCTCCACACCCAAAGCACTGTAGGCACAGATGGGAATCAAAGGCTCTCATTAACTAGATTAAGAAAGAAAACTCATTTGAAATACTGAAAAGTATTGGTAGCAGTAATTTTAAACCCATTTTGGTTACTTAACTATGTAATTTGCTTAATCCCTTAGTTGCTTACCCTGCCCCAGGGAGAAAAACTGTTGACAATAAGCTTAAAGAAGTTAGGATATGGATGATGCTTTGTTCTAATTCCAAATGCTATCCTACCCTTTCCAGTCCCCATACCCATGGCCATCCCGGCCAAGGAAGTAGCAAAAGATATATAGTAGGAGGCTGTCACCTCAGTACTAACTTTGCAGCTTATTATTTAAGTCTTAGAGTTTGGTTTCAACATTTAGTTTTAAGTACTTTCAATTTTCAGAACACCAAAAAGATACCATGTATAATAAAATCAAACCAAATAAATTAATTTTTCAGATTCTTTATCCTTCCTGAACAAATCATTAAGGTAAGACTGACAATGAGATCTGATTTTGAGATTATTTGGTACAAATTTCTGTGACTTTTTAGATGAGGAAACTGAGGCTTACTGAGGCCTAAAATCTTGCTTAGGTCACACAACTTGATACTTTTTGGCAGAAACAAAAGTTGAACTCTTGATGGCTTTATTCTCAATCCAATATACTTTTTTTGACTATACCATATTGCTACTTGTATATATGATTAACCTGTTATATGGAAATGGTGATTTAAATCTAATCAATTAAATATGTATATACATATAGAATGTATGTTCACATATATAAATTTAATATATACATAGACACACATATTTAATTCCTGTAACTTTTGTTTTAAGGCTATTAGAAAGTTGGGTCATTGACTGACCTGTTGCCATCACAGTTATAGCTTGATTCTATTTCATATTAGGTTTTCCTGGTCTTCTGAACCTGACTGAGGAGAACCACAAAGAAGAGTTGCATGCTTGATTAAGAGACTCTTAAGGTTGGAAGGAACTTCAGAAGCCATCCTGAACAAGAATCCTTCTCTACAACATACATAATGAGTTATCATCTAGCCTTTAATTGAAGATCTCTAGGTAGCTAGGAAATGCAGTGGACAGAGTGCTAGCTTTGAAGTCCAGAAATCCCAAGCTCAAATCAGACCTCAGACACCTCCTGGCTGTATGATCCTGGGCAAGACATTGCCTCAATTTTCTCATCTAAAAATGGATGTAAGAATGGTACCTACCTCTCAGGTGGTTGTGAGGATCAAATAAAATAACATATTTAAAGCACTTTGCAAACCTTAATGCTATTGTTGTTAGTCATTATTGTTCTTTTTACACTGTCTATTACCCTCTATTGAGGGTGCCCATTACACTTTTAAACAACTCTAATTTTGAGGAAGTTTTCCCCTCATATCAAGCTTAAATGTCACCACACTGTTCCCACTGTTCTTACTTTTGCCCCATGGAAGGAACCAAGAAGAATGAGTAATACCTTCTACATTACCTGCCTAATATCTTCTGTGTTACAACCATTCAAATACTTGATGATAACTGTTGTGTCCCTATGAAGTCTTCTGTTCCCTACACTAAAATTTCCCAGTTCTTTCCACATTGCCTAATTCAAGGGATTGGGATACCTCTAGATAGGACTAAAGAGAATATGGACTTAGGGGTAGGGACGGATGAATTAGTTTAGCTCCTAGCAGTGATATGCTGTTTGATGTCTAACAACTGGTTCTCCCAAAGCAGAGGAAAACATTATGCAGGACACACTTTTAAGTTTAATCTTCAATTAGCATTTTCTTCACTATATTAAGTATAGGCAACCAATAAAGCAAGAAATCAAGCCCTAATTGGTAGTCCTTGCTGATTTCCAAGGTGTAAATACTCACACTAAAATTTAACTGTTGGCTCTCTCAAATTGGTTGGAACACACTCCTGATTTCTAGTAAATAGAGTTCCTTAGGAAGGGATCCCAAAGCTGAAAAATATGAAGAACATTAATGTTGTGGTGAGTTTTCAGTCATCTACATGTAAGTATGGTCAATATCACTGGCTTTTATGCCAGAGGAACATGAAAAGTTCTAAATTGGGTGGATTGCCTGGCCAGGTGGAGACGAGAGAGGAGTTTTCAGTCAGCCAAAAAAGGTTAGACCACCAGCTGAGAGTCGTCTTAACAAGGAAAGAAGATTGGCAAGAATTCCTTGGAAGGGTGAGAGGCAGGAAACTAGCCAAAAGGGACGGTCAGCCTATAGAATATTTTTATATTTAAGAACTTCTTCGAGCAAGTACCAATGCAGGGACAGACATAGAAAGAAACAAGCCAAAATGGTAAGACACAAAATAATTTCAGAATAGTCAGGCCAAGACATTTGTAGCAGTAAAATTGTTATTTCTGCTTTAGCGTGTAGAAGGAAAGAAAAAGGGAAACAAATAAATAGAGAAAACTATAGAAATTCATAACTAGCTCTAGAAATGAAGCCAACCCAGACACAGTCTATCATTTCTGAGCAATGAAAACAATTTTTGTTTTTATAGTTCGGTGTCTGGTAATATAGCTCATGCTTCTGAATTCCTGCTCCTACTTAGTAACTCCTTTCTCTGTGTAGACTCTAGGGGATCAGTATAGTTTATTTTCACAAAGTTAGTCATTTTCTAGTTCCTTTTTTCCTGGAACTCTGATCACAACTTTCCACCAAATAAAATCCTTAATGCACATTACTGCATTCATTTGAGATAGAAGTCTGAGTAATTTTCCTAGCTATATCCTCTGCTAAGCTTAGCAGAACTACCACCTCCACTCAATTTTTACCTTCAAAGGCCACCATAATGGCATTTTAGGAAGTCCACTTTTTCACCTTTAAAAAGGCAAGGTTTAATTTTCCATTATATTCTTTTCAGAACACACTTAGTTATTAACTTTTAAAGTTCAAGTGAACAAAATGATGAGTTAGAGTATGACAAATACTCATTTGCAAAGATGGATTTAATTCAACTCCCTCATTGATTGGTAAACCAGTCAATAAACACTTATTAAGCACCTACTATGTGCTAGGCATTGTATTAAGCTCTGGGAATATTAAAGACAGTCCCTGCCCTCCAGGAAGTTACAGTCTAAAAATGGGAGAGTATGATGGAGTCTATTCCAAAAGTATGCAGCTGATGGGAATGAAGACATGGCTGGGAAGCTCTCCTTAAAGAGAATCTTTGGAAGGAGGCCTTTTCTCTGCCATCCAGTCCTCCAATCAGAGGGGCAGAAGGTAAAGATGAAGTGAGAGTACTCAGACTGATGAAATTTCACAAGATGATGAATTTCTTGATAATACAGTTTCCTGGGACATGGTCAAATAGAATCTAAAAAAGTGCAGCTGGTGGGGAATGAAAGTTAGGTGAGTAACCTGAAGCAGTATCTCTCTCCATTTTCATTTGCTTCTTTTTTTCTCTTTCCTTTCTCTTCCATTTCTCTTCTTTTTTTCTCTTTCACACACCTTTCATGGAATATTCTTCCTCCTCTTTCTGCTTTCTGACATACTTTAAGAATAAACTCAAATTGAAACCACCCCAAATACCTGTAAAAATGGCTCTAAACAAATTCTAGAGCAGCAGAACCTACAAAAAAGAGTGAAACAAATTTCAACGCCAAGACAACCTGGATGGTTGATTGGAAAGGTCTATTGCACCAGGATGGGAGAGGAGCTCAGTTCAGCATGGACCATGCAGGGAAAGACCAGGCCTCAGCAAACCTGGAGCAAGCCTCAGGGGACTGAGGTGTGGTGCTTTCTAGACCTCTCAACCCACACAAACCAAAGACAGCTTAGAAGGTCAGTAGGAAATGTGTGTCTGACTACAGTGAGAGAGGAGCTTGGTCCCAGCCCCAGTCCCAGAACAGACCTGGGGACTGTAGCTGCTTCCAGAGCTCTCAGCCCACAGATGGAGGGGGATCAAGTAAATGATCAGAAGGGGATTGTAGAGATGTTTTTGCTGATGATGAGACAGGATTCTTTTGCTTCGCCTATGCTTGGATCTGGGTCACATTTCTCATGGTGGGCCTGGGGAGAGGAGGAATGCTTGTGTGGCAGGGCTTGTGGTGGAGATGAAGAGGGAATCCTTCTCATAGTCCCAAGGCAGAAAACAGTGCTTGTAATTACTCATAGATCAGAGCCCAGGCCAGGAAAGAAGTAAATACTTTGCCCTTGATCGTACCACCTTGGAAGAATGGAAAATTTACAGGTCCTTAGAAGTGTCTCTGGGGGCAGCTAGGTGACACAGTGGATAAAGCACTGGCCCTGAAGTCAGGAGGACCTGAGTTCAAATCTAGCCTCAGACCAAACACTTGACACTTACTAGCTGTATCACCCTGAGCAAGTCACTTAAACCCAATTGCCAAAAAAAAAAAGTATCTCTGAAAACAACTGCACAAAAGCCCCTGAAGCTTGGGACAGTATATTATCCACACTGGAAGCAGATCCCTATCCTAACAAAGAGTTTAAAACTAAAGTAATTGGCTGGGAACATGAGCAAACTGTACAAAAAAGTCAGACCACAGAATCTTTCCTTGGTGACAAAGAAGATCAAAACATACAAACAAATTCAAAGCTCCTACATCCAAAGCCTCCAAGAAAAATATGAACCAGTCCCAGGCCATGAAAGAGCTCAAAAAGGATTTTGAGAAACAAGTAAGAGAAGTAGAGGAAAAACTGGGAAGAGAAATGAGAGTGACACCAGAAAATCATGAAAAGCAAGTCAACAGTTTGCTAAAAGAGACCTCAAAAAAATACTGAAGAAAATAACATCTTAAAAAATAGCCTAATCCAAATGGCAAAAGAGGTCCAAAAAGCCAATGGGGAGAAAAATGCCTTAAAAAGTAAAGTTGGGCAAATGGAAAAGGAAGTCCAAAAGTTCACTGAATTAAATATTCCCTTAAAAATTAGAATAGAGCAATTGGGAGCTAATGACTATGAGAAAGCATGACATTGTGAAACAAAACTAAAAGAATGAAAAAACAGAAGACAGTGTGAAATATCTCATTGGAAAAACAACTGACCTGGAAAATAGATCAAGGAGAGATAATTTAAAAATTATTGGACTACCTGAAAGCCATGATCAAATAAAGAGCCTAGCCATCATCTTTCAAAAAATTATCAGGGAAAACTGCCCTAATATTCTAGAACCAGAGGGTAAAATAGGAATGCAAAGAATCAACTGATCATCTCCTGAAAGAGATTCCCAAAGGAAAACTCCTAGGAATATTGTAGCCAAATTCCAGAGTTCCCAGGTCAAGGAGAAAATATTGCAAGCAGCCAGAAAGAAATAATTCGAGTATTCTGGAAACACAATTAGGATAACACAAGATTTAGTAGGTTCTACATTAAGGGACCTAAGGGCTCGGAATATAACATTCCAGAGTTCAAAGGAGATAGAATTACAGCCAAGAATCACTTACCCAGCAAAATTAAGTATAATCCTTCAGGGGAACAAAAGGATATTCAGTGAAATAGAGGACTTTCAAACATTGTTGATGAAAAGACCAGAGCTGAATAGAAAATTTGAGTTTCCAATACAAGACTCAAGAGTAGCATGAAAAAGTAAACAAGAAAGAGAAATTGTAAGGGACTTAATAAAGTTGAATGGTTTACAATCCTACATGGAAAGATGATATTTGTAACTTATGAGAACTTTGTCAGTATTAGGGTAGTTGGAGGGAAAAATTATATTTGTATATACACACACACACACACACACATACATATACACACATATGTGTATATATATGTATGTATATATACATATGTAGATAGATAGATAGATAGATAGATAGATAGATAGATAGATAGATAGATAGATAGATGGCACAGAGTGAGTTGAAGATAAAAGGGTGATATCTAAAAAATAAAATTAAGTATTGAGATAGGATTATACTGGGAGAAAGAGAAAGGGAAAGGTAGAATGGGGTAAATTATCTCACATAAAACAGACAAGAAAAAGCTTTTACAGTGGAGGGGAAGTGGGAGAACATGAGAAGGAATGAGTGAATCTTATTTTAATTGGATTTGGCTTAAGGAGGAAATAGCATACACACTCAATTGTGCATGGAAATCTATGGGGATAAGAGAATGGGGGGATGATAGAAGGGAGGGCCAATTGAGGGAGGGTGTAGTCAGAAGCAAATACTTCTGAGGAGAGAGTTGAAAGAGAGAATAGAAAAAAAACGGGT